TTTTTAAGATTTGCTTGGGCTTAATTTTGCCTCTATTACGCATTGTTTGTGTTAAACTTTGTTTAAAATCGCTCAAATGTTAGTTACTAAAGCAAGAACCAGTTTAACTTTAGTAGTCAGCTCAGTACCACGAAAAGAATAGAAATGAATTGTTTTCAAAAACTTTTTATTCGTGCTTTTATAAATGACATCGATCATCGAATATACAAATCTACACTTTCCAACCTCAATAATATGAATTAAAACTTCACAGTTCGTCTGTTTTCTCTAGGGTTTATTACAAAGAAGTTTGTTATTATAAGCTGTAATTGGATTTATAAGCAGATCTGCTTTCATGAATCAAATTAATATAAATAAATAATTTGAATAAAGAAATAAAAAATTATATAGTTATAAAATATATTCATGAGTTAAATAACGGAAAAAAATCAGTAGTTTAAAATATATTCATGAGTTAAATAACGGAAAAAAACCAGCATGTCTATAATGAACTCTTAATATAATGAATTTTGAATTACGAAATTATTAAAGTATTGTACTCTCGATATAAGTTTTTGCCCAACCTGAGAATTTCACTAATAACGTGAGTAAGCGCTTGTTTATAATATTTTCTTATATTTCTACATGTGTCTACCTTTATTTTTTGTTGAAATATGAATAATAAACGAATAACAAATAAACCTATAATGAATTGACAGTTCTTATAGTCGATAGAAACCTATTAATTTAAGATTTAGTAATATATGTCTTTATAGCATTTGATAGTCCTACCATCTTAATACGTACTAGGCAGTTTCCTTTTTTAAATGTAAAATATTTCGAATCATTTTTATACCGAACGTAATAAATTTAGTATAGAATATAGTTTATTTGTATATACCAATCAAATTAGTTCAGATCAGAGCTGTCACTGGACTACACTGGACATATTTCATTAACCATAGCTGCCGCAACAAATTTGGACCGGCAGATCCTCGATTTTGATTGGCTAAGAGCGACGATAAAAAGATTAGGCCGGAATTACTCATAATTTTACTAATGAAATCATAGCCGCCTATTAAATGAAAATTGTTCCTGGGCCAATTTTACCATAATGCGGGCTTATTTTTTAAGAATTTCTATATTTGCAATAAAAAAATTAAAAAGTTAATTCTGGCCGGAAATTAGTAACCAATTTTGTAACGTGGGCCAAAATTTCGAAGATCCTCGGCCGTTAGCCAATCAAAATCGAGGATCTGAAAGATGGTTGATTATTAGGTTACTTACATCATACAAAAAAATCTCTAACGAACAAATTTGTCTACTAGATAGTTTATAAATTCATATTTGTAAATTCTTCAACGAGGAGGACCAGCAAGAATCAGCAAATCACAATAAAAATTCGCTATGTACAGTAGTTCGCTTATAATTTGTTTTGAAGAGCCGAGGAATCGGCTTAGCATTACTATAAACAGATCGCAAAATTTACTAGATATGAGGAATTTTGCTTTATTAATACAGTTATATTTAAAACTATTTTTAATATATATAATATCTCCTATTTTTAAATCGAACGTTTATAACTTTACGGATGTTTAAATAATCACCTGTTTACCTTATGTTTTGACGTCATAATCAGTACAATGACTTATTTAGCAACAGATTTCAATGAAATAAAATTGTTAAAATCTAATAACAAATCTCTATGTGGTTCACGAGAAGAAATTTTTGGTGAAGTAGCTTTAGTATTGGTAATGTACTCTAAAAATGAAAGGTCAGATAAAGACATCCATGTATCTTGTTGCGGTGTTGATTCCGGAGAATTATTGTATGCATCTTGTTTCAAATTTGGATTCAATGAATTATCATAATTTACTGGCAATGCCATTTCCTCAAACTCAGGTAAAAATGAATGTTCTGGTACTGTTTGTACATTTTCGGCAGATACAAATTCACCAAAATCTGAAGATACAGATGTAAAACTTGAATTTGTTTCATGATCATATAAATGTAAAGAACTTTGAGAATCCATATTGCCATTTGCGAATTCCATAAACATCCGGAATTGATCCGGAATTTCCCGTAATTTTACAGGATCAATCTTTTCTGTTAATGAAAGATGCTCTGTAGTAGAATTTGTAAACTCTAAACCGGCCAACTCTTCAAAGTTGAAGATTATATCGGATTTTTGTGGAGATACTGGTAAAGTAGATATATTATCTGTCTGAGAGTTGTTATACTTCAAGAACGAAACCTCTGATGCAGATACTGAAGGATCTCGATTCAGCTCTATATCTATTAAATTCTCTGGTACATTTGAATCATGTTTTATATCATCCTTAGACAAACTATCGTTTGTAATAGTAACTTTGTCGGAAGTCTTTATAATGAAGTAAAAAATAAATTAGTATTCATCAAAAATTACACATTAATTATTGTAATATTAAATCCAACCTGGTCACTCGATATAACGGATGTTTGTAAGCATGTGGTATTATCACCAAATAATTCATTGGCTGGAAGCTGACCCGCTGTCCTTATCTGATAACAATAAAAAATATCAGATCAGATGCTTGATGAGATATAATCATTTAACGTATATATTATAAAAATACCTTATAAATAGAAAGAATAGATTCCAAATAAGAACTCTGAATCCGTGAGCCATGCCAGAAAAATCCTGCATTGTCCTTACAATTCCAAGTTTTTATAATTGACATCCAAGTGAGTTGAGCATTGAGAGATCTAATAATAGTAATAATAATAGTAATAATAATAAATATTATCACACCAAAACAATTCTACAATTTCAAAAAATTATCAGCAGAAAAACTTAGCCTACTCCTGAGCATTATATACAAGATCTTCGATGGACGGAGACATTTCATCAATAGATTGGCTAAGTTTTTTAGAATTATCAAGTATGTCCAAAACAGCAGTCCAAAGAGAAGCCGAATCAGAAAGCGACTAATGCAAAAATAAAATAAGGTTTAAGGAGTTGGCATAGCAATTGATCATTTATTTACTATTATGATTATTATCTTTTAAACGCCCGGATAACATACAAGTAATTATATCTACCCCAAGATGATCAAAATTTATTGCTAGGCCCTGATTGCTTTTTCTATCATCAGTCAGAACTTCAAAGTGATCGCTATAATCAATAAAATCATGGTTTCCTAGATTCATAATATCATTTTGAACATTCTCTATTCTTGCAATATTACTTTCACGATCAACTTCTTGCCCACTAATTTCGGCATCTTTAATATAACTATGTTCTGCGGAACCAATTGATTCTTTCGAGTCTAAACTGATATTCTTGTCCACTTTTCTATTTACAACGAAAAGATCATCACATCTATCAATATTTGCATTATATGTGGAATCTTTACCACCTTCCGCGGACTCGGTTAAAAGATCGTCAAAAGATGACTTAATATTAGAAACACCAAATGATGCGTCCGCGTTAAAATGATCCATTTGATCTATTTCAGATGTATTAACTTTAGAATTTATTGCTTTATCTTCGTAAAACGATCCACCCCTGAGCCCAACGCTCTCTTTAGTAGACGAAAATAAAGACACATTTTCAATGTTTTGTGGTATAGGCGAACTTGGAGGAGTTAATAATCCCTGGCTCTTTAATGTCTCCTGTGCGAGCTGACCAACTTTTTCATGTAACGTAAGCGGTATTTTATTACCATGATTCTCTGTTTGTGCGATATCGTTTGATAACTCAGCGGTTGAAAAAGAGTAACTAGGTATAGAAGAAACAATCTGTACATCGGCCCATACATTTTCTTCAAAATCATCTCTAAGTATTCCATCTTTTCTACTACTACTATTACGAATATTACGAACTTGTTGCTGATTATCATCATCCCATACATTTGATGTTATTATTGAGACTTCATCAATTCCGGAAGATTGAACATTCCATTCAATTGTTGACCATACAGGATCTTCCTCTGTGGAAGATGTAGATTCAACATTAAAAGTGTTATCTGTTGAAGTGTTTTCAATTTGATTAACTATCGACGAATTTGTATGATCAGTTTGGTCAACTATTGAAGTGGCAGAATAATCTTTGAAAGTATCTGCAGATTTACGCAACGCATTAATATCTTCCTTTTTCTTCTTATTTGAATGACCACTTATTATCTTAGCAAGTTTCAGCATTGGGTCAATTATTACGTCTTAGTAATTTTCAAAAATTCAAAAATTCAAAAAGCGACAACTAAAAGTTTTAAATCTGTCAATCTGTCAATCCATCGAGATAAGATTTTCCAAATATTGAGGCTTATATCATGTGGCTTGACTATTGTAATACGCTAATTCCTATAGACAACCTGCTTCATAGAAGTCATACATATTCGTTTCAATTGTAATTTTAACATTTCTCTTGAACAGATCTTGTTGAAAGGATGAATTATTATAGAAAAGATGAGTACAAATATTTGAATGAAAATGCGATTTCTGTAGATTGTTTTGATTATAGATGCAGACATTTGGAAGGCTACCTTATCACGTCACTTTTCATGTGACGTTTATACGTCACTGTGGGGTGTTCGATTGGGGTTTACTAATTTCTCCTCACACTTCCCATTGGACGAATACAAATAATGTGATTTTCTGCGGTGGTTAAGACTAAATTCTGTGTAAATTCTGTGATTTAATGTGATAAAATTTTTATCTAATTCTGTGGTAACAATTATAATTTCTTTGCAATTCTTATTGTAATTTCTGTGATCTAATGCGATTATAAATTTTTTCAAAACAACTAATTCCGGCGAACATGCTCGTAATTTA